GAAAATGTGAATCTGGAGAGACACTTCAAAGAGAGATCTTGATGACATCAGGGGTATTTACACTGACAGCAACATTATGGAATTCACAGTATTTTTAAATTAAGGGTATGGCTCAATAATTGCCAGTCCTGTGAACTTACATATTCTAATTGAAATTTTACATTCTGGCACAAACTGTGAATCCTAAATATAGGCAGTATGGTCTTTTCTTTGGAACTTGCTACACAAATACATCAATTATGACAATTTAATTGGACATATTTTTATTTTATTAAAAATAGCTGTTTAAAGAGTTTGAGCCAGTCAGTTCAGTACTGTCGATGGCAAATGCTAAAGACTTTTCAAATTACTTGTGTTACCTTTAAAGAATGCAGTAATTTTCAAGAGGCAAACAGAACAAATAATTGAAGTGATTACTTAGCTTATCTACTAATATTTTGTATGTAGCTCTCTGATGATTTACTATTTCATTATTCCATTAATGGAATCAGCTAATAAAACGTGAATGCAAACTCCAAGTACTTTGGACAGTCACCAAAATCCCATAGTGACATTATTTTCCAAAATAAAAATTTGACTCCTCATACGATAGTGACAGCAGATATAACTTAAACTGGGAGAAAGCATAGTTTAACATGGCCAGCCCCAAACCCTTGGCATGTTATCTCTCCCTCCTCTCTATTTTAAAGTTTTTCCATGCGAGTAACTTGGGGAACATAAAAGAACTGCAGAAGCAGGGCACACTTGATAATATATACCGTCACAAGATGAAGAGACATGCTTTCTAGAGTAATGTACTTGGTGAACACAGAGAGGTGTGGGAGAGAGGCCAGCAATGAAGTATGCTTTACAATTACTGTTTCCACATAGAATTCCTTTGAGATCAATAGTGCAAGAATCCCATTCATTTTGATGGGATTCATTTATTTTCGAATGTTATGAAAAGTAACTGCAGCACATAACATAGGCACAGTAATAACTTCACTAGCGTACACCAGCCATTGTAATTTGGATCACTGTGAAAGCTGTTTCTTATTAAAAAAGAAAACAAGCCTTAGAAGTGGGTGGAAGGACATCAGTATTTAAGGAGATGTGTTGTACAATGTCTGCCACTGAAACTTTTGAAACAGGAAAAGCAAATACTCTGCAAATTAAGATATGAATGCAGTAACAAAGTTTCAATGTGGAATTAATAGACTGGTGGAAGGAAACATTCTGGCACAGCATTGATCCAGCAAAGTACTCGGGCAACTTAAAGCATACGAACAGTCCTACTGAAATAAGAGGGGTAAGATTTGAAGGTGAAAACATGCCTGTGCTTAAATATTCTTCTGTTTATATGTTAAGAGTCATCTGCTAATTGTCTTTACAAACAATAACCCTCTCCAAATGTAAATAAAATTTCAGAGAACCCTTTTAAATTTCTTGTGAGTTTAAAAACATTTCCTACCCTTAAACTACGATATAGAGAATGGAATCTGGAGAAAAATTCATTTGTTCTTATTTTTAGATTTACATTTGGTGATCTGTGTTATGCCTTATCTCATAAAACATGTAACCAAAAATCTTTCTGGCAAGCAATGGCACAGAATTAGGGCTGAAGGGATCTTAAAAGATCACCCACACCAACATTTCTCAACCTCTTTAAATCTAAAGCTCCCCTAAGCCTTTCTGAAAAAAATTCAGGGGCCATTTTGAGCAGTGTCACCACAATTCATTTCTGTCCCATACAAAATCAAGTCTAACTTTGAACATCTGTAAATTTTTTTCCCCACTTTGCTTCTCTACAGCTTGCTGCTTGCTTTTGTTCAGCTGAAATTTCTTGCAACTGGTTCTGATGTCCTATGGTTCACTGACTGAGGTACATCTAGTCCATCCTACTGCCTAATATGTGAGCAACCATAGCTGACAGGTAGTTATCTAATCTGATTTTAAAATTCTCCAGTGGATGAGATGCCACAATGTCTCCAGCCAAACTATCATAGAGGTGTAACTACAACTTTTGGAAAGATTTTCCTAATGCCAACTTAAACCCTACAGCAATATAAACCTGTTATTTATTGTCCTAATTATGGTGAATCACCAACAGATTATTTCCTTCTCCCCGCGACAAACTTTTTAATGCATTAAAGGCTTATTAATGACTCTCCTTACTCTTCTCTATAGGCTTCACAACTTCACTCCCTTTTATACATCCTCACTGGACATGTTTTCTAAACCTCCAGTCATTTCTGCTTCTCTCCTTTGAAGTTTTTCCCACAGTCTGCACTCTTCATAAACTATAGTGCCAAAACCTTGGACTTCAGCAAGACTGAGAAAGCAGGACTGTTTCCCACTTCTTTGAGGCTGTTTCTCTCTGTATACATCTCAGTACAACTGCCTTTTTAGCACCAGTATGACATTGTTAACTCCTTTTCCCTTCCCACAGAATTGTTACCTAGCTAGTTGTTCCTCGTTTTTTATTTGTGCAACTGTTCAACAAACAGTTGCACATTTTTTACAGATCTCTCTTGACTGCGACTCCTCTCTTTTGACTGTGAACTACTTTCAACGTACTGTTTTCCAACCATCTGACATCCACTTCTTCTAGACAAGAAAGATACTGCATTGCCCAATCAGAAATAATACTGAGAGTCAAGATTATATACATGCTTATTAAGATTCAATTTTAAAATTCATAATAGTTAATAAACACCAATTTTGTACCGTCTTCCACCCTAGGCGCACCAGTTAAACTTCCAGAAACTGCAATTAGTAGGTCTGAAGGGAGACAATCACTCCTGAGTCACGCACTTGGAAAAAGAAGAGGCCAAAACCGCACAGAAATGAGAACCAACAGGCTCTGTGGTCTCCCATGAAACTGGAAGCATACAAACTGACACCAACCAAGAAGAGGAGGAAAAAACAAATGGGCAAGCAAAAATAAATGTTCATTTAAACCATCAATATTCAATAAGAATAAACGCCAAATTCTAAAAGTCTATATATCTGTCTACTGCTTCTTTCCTAGCCACAAGGCCTGTCAGAGAAGAAAATTAGATTATTTTGACATAATTTGGTCTCAACAAATCTGTGTTGGCTGTTACAATTGGCATATACAATTTGAGATGTCAAAAGATTTATATAATTGAAAAGGTAGGGCCAATAATTGAAGTTCTGATGGGCCTAACAAAAGAGTGTCATAATAAAGAAATTATTCAAAGGAACTTGGTTCAGCACAGCGAGCAGTCAAAAAAATGCAGCTAATACTTAGCCAACTTGCTAAAAGAGAATTACTTCTACTTGAAATTTATGAACACTGTATGGAGGAAAGCATAAGCTAAATGTATATAACACAATATAAATCTCAAGAGAAAAGAAATTCCTTTCCTTTTAACATTGCTCTTCTTGTATAGTAAACTTGGTGACTAGCAGTACATTTTCATCCAAATATGCACACATACAAAATTACAGATACATCTCACTCCCCCAGTGACTTTATAACATGTTGCTAGGTAACAGTGCATACAAGTCAGGTTTCAAGACCTTTAGTAAGTCACCATAAAATAACTGCATAGGCCTTTTGCATGAATAATGTACATTTGTATCCTTTTTCTGATGCCAATAGATCAGACATTGAAAACATGACCGTCTGCCAAACTGCAAACAGCTCCCCATCAACTGCTACATAAAAAACAACACATCGAAATGTACGTTTTCTCAGTTTTCAGGCTTTTCCCCCCCCCTCCTGCTTTTTGCTCTCAGTCTTGCTACATGCAGCCATCATGAGCACTACTACTACAGGTCAGTACTGGTGATGTGTAGAGCCACTTAGTGTACAGCAATCCAAATTTAAGATAGACATCAGAACGACAACATATATGGGACAGCTGTCAGACAATCCAAAAAATTGGTTTTCATGTAGAGTCCAAATTTGAAACGCAATTAAAAAAATGTACAAGTAAAAAAAAATGTACAAGCAAATCAAAACAGACTCATCCTCACTCATGTTTTGTTGGTCATAATAATAAATTATATCAACACTTTTTTTTTTTAAAGGGGAGGTTTCTGTGGCTTCTTCCAACCCACACAGCAAACCATTTGTGCCAGCCCATTTCACCTCTTGCTTGTCCTCAGCTCTTTTCCATTCTTCCTTCATGAAGCCTCAGGCTTGGTTTCTTGTGTTTACCCATTCTACTCATTTCCCCATAGAACTGCGATCCCAGAGGTATAAAGATCTGGGCAGATGAGGACAGCAAATCTTTCCACAATAAATGGCTGTGGTTTCACCAAGGCAATGGCATTAGGACAGAGCTAATTCTTTAGTTTGCCTAACAATAAAATTTTCTAAAATGCAAATCTTACATTCCATTTAAAGAAAAAGGGTGACCAATTATTCTCTATTGAAAAAGGTATCTTCTATCTCCAAAGTCTAAAACTTGACATAGGGACGGCCATCTCCTTGTGAAACGTAAGTTTCTTCAGTGACATTTTTCCTGACTTCTTTCTCTTTAAAAATTAAAGGCCAGTTTTGAAAATATTTAGTATAGAACATCCCTCCAGCATGTCCACAATTCTGAAGTGTTCAGTCAAATCAATAAAAGAGCACATAAATTATAATAGATTCACCCTAAACACATCCTCCATTTCAGTCTCACATATGAATGTCATTCTTACAGCAATAATCTGACAGTGAAAGAAAACACAATAAACACATGCTTTGCATAGAAATGGATTTCAATTAAAATAATTAAAAAAGGTAACTGTCAATGAACAGGAAAGCCTGGATGAAAAGTTCTCACTCCCAATCCCAGCAAGTAAAGAGCAAAATCCTTCTCTTCTCCCTCTGTTTCCCCTCTTCCCTCCATCACGCACCTCTCCTTATAAAAAGAAATAATAAATTGTAAGTTAAGAACTTGTAATGTTTTTCTCCCTGCAATTCCATGACTTAGCAAACCCAAGGCAAAGTGTTTCTTAGCCCATAAAGGAGCAGCAGATGCTGCCACTTGCTGCTCGATTACCTGACAGCTTCATAAGAAAATCTGATGCCATCTTGACAGAGATGTCTTGGCTGAATAGTGCTGATGCTGTATTAGCCACAAAGTCAGAGGAGTCTTTCAGCTTTGTGTTGTTGGGGGCTCTGTCAACAGTGCTAAGAGCAAAAGGTGCAGCTGAGATGCCATTGTCATCTTTGGGCTCTTCTTTCACTAGTAAGGGTGGAATACCTCCACTAGGTTGCCCAGCCACATCAGGTGTTTTAGATACAGATGCTGATCCTGTAAGGTCAGGTCCACCTCCTTCCCTCTGTGGTCCTGGGCAGGAGTCACTATTTAGCTGTGGTGACCCCTTCACCTCAGTTTCTGTTATTTCCTCCTTCACTTTGGATTCTGTCCTGAGGAAATGTTGATGGCAACGCATATGGAGTTTCAGGCTGAAGTGGCGGGAGGAGGTAAAAGGGCATAGCTGGCATTGAAAGGTCTCACCCCTGTCTTGGTGTTGATGAACCTGGTTCAAGAGGTGAAAGATAAAAGCACGTATTAAGGAAATTACTAGCATTATAGAAATCTCAACTCTACACTTCTCATACCATCTTTAAAAAAAGAGAAAAGTTAACTAATTGGTGAACTCTTCATTCTGATTGCTTGGAAAGAGGTCAGGCACTAAGAAGAGTAGGATTCTTTCACACAGAAGTCAAAGAACATAAACATCAGACTCAACTAAAACAAAAAAAAATCAGGAACATCTGTTTCTGCAGCATGGAAATGATGAAGCCTGCTTTGGATCAAACAGTCCTTACAACTAGATCCTGATGTCCTGCGCATAAAAGGACTTCCAAGCTATAACTATTAGCTTTCTTGATTAAAAAACAAACAAAAAACCCCCTATCTATTACATGTTCTGCTAAGCATGATTGTTCTGTGCAACCTCATAAATAACAATTGTTCAGAGCAACCCAGCAAAACACTAACCTGCATAGCAACGTCCATCATCCATTCATGTATTATGAAAAACACAGCACCTGGCAATACCAAGGCACTATTGAAACAGTTTGTTCCAAATTTATTCTACCAGAAAATAAACATCTCTCTTATGATAAAATACAAACATAAGAGATGATGTTTGCATTTATTCTATTTTATCAGTAAATTAATGATCACAGTTAATCTTACTGTCCTCATAGTTTGACTGCAGGCTCTTTCTCATAGAGACTGCATGCTCCAGAATGACTACAATGCCTAGTATCCTCAGGCCCAATCCTGATTACCTTTTAAAGAGAACTCTATCCATCCATCCATATGTAATGTTTACATATTATTTGGACACACTCATTAATATAAACTATATACATATAATTATGTAATGTCTTGTTTAACACAGTGACTCATGAAAGGGAAGGAATAACTGAGGCCAGCATAACAGTGGCAGGTATACTGAAAAGTTTTTTCCCTATAGCTTCACAAATGAATTTTCAATCCTGACAGTAGCACTCCAGGCTACTCCCTGCAGAAAGACTGACAAACACATACATTTTTTCCTTACTAATTGATGAACATGTGATCAGGGCAAACTGGCACCAGACTGAGCTCCACACATTCGTTTTCACTTGTGAATCAAGTGAAAGTTGGTTGGAAACATTTCAGTGAGACAGATTTTTGTTGGAAAATGGCAATTTGTTGTACGCAAAATATTTCACCTGAAACATGGAGAGGTTTGATGAACTCTTGGCAAACGAGGCACAATTCCCCTACTCTACTGAGTGGCACTCTACCCCCTGCTCCCTAAGCTTGGCTCAGAAGCAGCCAGCTGTGCCAGGGATCCAAGGCTGGCTGCTGTAGTCTGGGAGTCCAAAGGACCTGAGAGCTCCAGCTGTAATCAAAGCTCAGCTCTACAACTGGGAGCCTGGAAAACCTTGCTTTAGCTAAGGCTTTCAGCACTTTCCAGTTTCCTGCAGAGCTGAGATCTAGATCCCGAGAGTCCCGGTGCAGACGCTGCAGAGTTCTGGGGTAACAGCAGCATTTCCCAAACACAGTTCTGTCAAAATTCAGGTTGGAGTTTCCCATGTTGTAGACTTGGTCTGATTCATTTTCTATATAGCAAGAGGAATTCAGTCACGAGCTCATATCCAGCATTCCCAGCTCTACATACACAGGACCTGAATTCAGTTCTGCTAAAATGTGAAGCTGGGAGATGTCCCTCTTTTAGTCCTTTTTGCGTTCAGTGAAGACACATTTCCTTAGTGCTGTATAACTTTTCTTTCAGTAGTTCTTCAAGGGCTCCACAGATTAGGTACTAAACAAACAGATAGCAAGAATTTCTCTTGGCCGGCTGCTTTACAGAATGACATTCTGAGTATCATATAAACATGACAATTACAGACAAACTAATTCTGGAATCTTAAAATTGCATCTGACAACAAAAAAATTAGAAGTCAATGTTAACCTAAGACAGTTTTAAAGCAACAACCTTGCACAAGAATAGCAGCACAATAAATTCTAAATATTAATAGGTTACAAAAGAAATGTCAACCAGTTTGCCTGTCTACGCTACTAGAAACAGGATGGTCTGTGAGCACAGCAGTATGTAAGCACTCGTCTTCATGAAGAGCACAAAGATGTACTAATGGTAGCAAGCACTCTCACCATGGCAACTTTATCTCTTACACCCACTGAGATTCTGTGTGCCAGGGTTTCTCTCCAGGATCCCCTTCAATCAACATTTCCCTGCCTACATGTTTAACCACTTCTTCTAGAGGCCCCTTATCGCAATCATCAATATGATGCCTTCTGAAGGCTGTCACTGCTGCAGCTGGGTGGGAAAGTGTGTGGGAGCCCACCTTCTCTTTCCAGGAGCGTGGCATGCCACCCCTGCAATATCTTTTGGGAATGGATGAGAATAGGGGGGACTGATTCATCTGACTTGGATTCTTCTCTTGCCCAAAGACAATAGCAGCCTCACCAATGGATTTCTCATAAAATAAAGTACGTTTATAACTTCCAGCCAAGGAATGACAGAATTCAAGCACAAATATTTAGAGTTTTGAAAGGAAGAATTTTAGATCTACAAAAAAACTCCATATGAAACAACATCAAGCTCCCAGTATCCTGGGTCCAGTCCCACCATAAGACTTGATTTAATTTTTATTCTCAAAAATAAATAATATTTATTTTAAAATTTGAACACTATTAGAAATAGAAGCTAAGAATTAAAGTCCCTTTAAAGGAAAAACTATCCCTTATTTCCTCATTCGACAGCAGCTAAAAGAGCCAAGAATTGCCATTCTGTGCTATTCAGAGGGAAAAGTCAAGGCAGCAACTACTTGCTGCAGAATAAGAAACAAGAAACCCTGTAGAGGTACACAGAAAGCCACAGGGGAGATCCAGTTCACGCAATGTTACAGTCCAAAAAGCTGCATTCTTACATGCTCTTACACTGTGCTAATGCTAACCAAACCATTAGATGTCCTCTTTAGCCTCAACTGGGCTGTTGCTGCAAGAACCACAGGCAGGAAGAGACAAGAGGGCAGCTGACAAAGTTTTCTCCAAAGTCCCAGTCTGAGCCCAGCTGCTGCTAGATTCGGATCCCTCTGAATTATGCCGCAACAACCCACAGTGCACAACCTGTACATAGAGAATGGTTCTTTCAAAATCCCATAAAACTACTGTTTGACTTATGTCAAAAACATTTAAGGACTTCTACCTTCTGAGTTTATTTCATTTAACCGTGGATATCCTCGATGGTGCAAAGTACTTGTAGCATCTCTATTTTAACCCTACAGTCTTCCCAGTCTCAAATGGTATTTTGCAGTTCTACAGTTTTTTTCAGTGTGTGCTTGATATGACATATGCAATAATTTTCAACAGAACTATATACTCCTTACAAAATTTAGGCCTAGTTTGAGGACTTGGGTACAAATTATCTATTGGTCAATTTTTTTTTTTTTTTTTTTTAGTTTGTTTATTTCAGTTTCTCTTGCTCCCTCCTCATTCTCACATTATAAGAAAGAAAAAAAGCAGCCGTTCAATTTATCTTCTCCATCATATGCATTATTTTGATCACATACCCCTTCTATACCTGTCAGTCAGCTGCTTCTAGCTGCTTCTTTCTTCAAAGGGAGTTCTTGCCATCCCACTAAGCATTTTCATTGACAGTTTTTAAAATCCCTTCTATTTCTGATATATCTCTTTTATGAAGTGACCAGAAGTGAATATCCTAAGTGGCAGCATACCATATGTTAATAATAACATTGTAATATTTTCAGCGTTATTTCTGTTTTATTCTACATTCAAATATCCAATGTACTTGTTAACCACTGCTGTGCATGGCAAGAAAAGGTTTTCATTGAATTGTCTACAGCGATACTCAGATATTTTCCCTGAGTAGTTACAGTTCATTGTATCAGACAGCGAGGTGCATGATTAGACTCTTGTTTCCAAGGTGCAGTACCTAGTAATTGTCAACAATAACTTCATTTGCCCCATTGTTTATCTGTCAGCCAGTCTCTTTCAAGCTTTGCCTTTTCTAATCTTGATTCATGCACATAAGGTTGAATTGTCTACAACTCTCTTACTCACAGTTATCATTTTGAGCAGATCACATTTACTAAAATATGCACAATTGCACTCTTAGTAATGGAATACCCCTCTGTTAGCCTTTTGTCATGCTTAAAATTGCTAATTCCTTCCTACCCTTTGTTTTACTGGCTCTTGGTGAATTTCTAATTTGCCATAGCCATTGCTTAATTTATTTGGCAGCTTCTCAGTGAGAAGCTTTGCCAAAGACTTTTTTAACAACCAAATAAATTTCAACTGATTCTTAAGTCCAGGATTTTCCTGACATGCTCAAAACATCTTAGTAGAACACCACATGATTTTCTTTTACAGAAACCACATGTCCGTATCATATCACATCATTCATATTTTTTTCTGTTACATTTTTTGTTAACATACTAACATTTCTGGTATCATAAGTAGTTTCTTAAATCTTCTTTCCATACTTAAAAGCAACACCCCTGCTGATTTACCAGCCAATCTATGTCATGGGAAGTACACACTGACCCATACAGATGTACCACAGTGTCATGGTTTAGCCCCAGCCAGCAGCTGAGCACCATGTGGCTGCTCGCTCACTCCTCCTGCCCCAGTGGGATGGGGAGGAGAATGGGAAGAAAAGGGTAAAACTTTGCGCGTTGGGATAAGGATAGTTTACTGGGACAGCAAAGGATGAGGAAAACAACAACAGTAGTACTTAGAATATACAAAGCCCCAGCGGCTCCTCCTCCCCAGCCAGTCCCCTTTATATACTGAGCATGATGTCATATGGTATGGAATACCCCTTTCGCTAGTTTGGGTCAGCTCTCCTGGCTCTGTCCCCTCCCAGCTTCTTGTGAAAATTAACTCTATCCCAGCTGCTGAAAACCAAGACACACAAACACACGTGATCCCACCTAACAGGGCACAATGGGGAGTAGGGCTGAAGGAAACAGTGACACAGGCATGTCCTGCAAT